TGAAACTGAATGATTTTCATTAATGAAAATCGGAGGGGTGCAAAGCCCTTCTTTCATTCAAAAATGTGCCTATATTGTAATAGGTGTTTAAAAAACTAATTTACCTTTTTGGAATAAGAGTATAACTGGTGATTTCCAAATTCGGTGCGAATTATCGGTTCCCCGGTCATGGTCACAGTTTTTTTTTTTTTTTGAGACAAGGTCATGGTCACAGGTAAAAAGGGAAAACAGTTCCCTGGTTATAGGCCGCCGGCTCGGGCCCGGTGGCCTGGTCTTGGGCCGACACGCACGGGTGGAAGCCACTCCCCAAAACCCTTTGCCGAGCCCGTTCCCCCTAAGAAAAAAAAACCCAAACCCCACAAATCCATCCCGGCCGACCGCCGCCGCCGCCGCCGCCATGAATCCGGCATGCGCGGAGGCAGCAGCCGCCAAGAAGTCCCGGCACAAGGACAAGAAGCAGAAGAAAAGCAAGCGCAAAGAAACCGCGGAGCACCTCGGCGGCGAGCCCGCGACGGCCGAGGAGGAAGCCGTCCACAAGAAGAAGAAGAAGAAGAAGCACGCGAAGGAGGAGGGGAAGGCGGATCCGAAGCGGAGGCCGACGGTGAGCATCGCCGTCGCCGGCTCCGTCATCGACAACGCCCAGTCCCTCGAGCTCGCCACCCTCGTCAGTAACCCCGTCCCCTATCGCCTTCCCTGTACCTTGCATTTCTTACACTAGGGATGCTCATAAGAGCGCGCCTCTCCTGTTTCAGCTGGCCGGTCAGATAGCCCGCGCGGCGGCCGTATTCCGTATCGACGAGATTGTCGTCTTCGACAGCAGTCCAGCGGCGGAGAACGGCGGCGGCGACGCCGAAGAGGAGGAGGAGAGCGGTGCGCGGTTCCTTGTCCGCATACTGGAGTATCTGGAAACGCCGCAGTACCTGCGCCGCCGTCTCTTCCCAATGCACAAGAACTTCAAATATGTGGTGAGAATTTTTAAGAAGGTGGTTGGGTGATAAGTGGGGATTTCTTAGAGGTTGCTAATTTCACTGTGCTGCTTCTGGTATGCAGGGGTTGCTTCCGCCGCTGGACGCGCCTCACCATGTGCGCAAGCACGAGTGGTCTGAATTTCGTGAAGGTGATGTGTCTCTCCTGTGCTGGCATTGGTCTCAGTTTAAGTTGCTGTGGTCACAACATGAAATGGAGTTTCAGTTTATCATCCAAAGAGTACTTCAATAGTAAAACATGAATTTGGCAACTTGTCATAGATTCGTAGGCTCTTAGTAGTGGCTCTTGTGATGTATGACCAGTCGACCACATTTCATAAATTAGGGTGCGGCCATGTAAGTCTTGCACTTGTCCTTTTCATCATATCTTGGACAGCTTTATTCCAGTGTTCAACTGTTACTTATTGTATTTCGAAATCTACCAGTCATGTGTCATTGAGGGAATACTTCATTTGACTTTTGTTCTGGTATTTCTTAAGGGCTGCTTGAGCTGTTGATGGTACTTGGTAACATGGTTATGTGTGTAGAATTATTTGCTTAGCAAGTGCTGCTTCTGATATTTATCACTTTGGTTAGGGATCAACTATGCCATATCGAATGATGATCTATTACATTTCATGTTCCACATGTATGGTTCAGCATGATGCTTACAGTATACTGAACTTCGACAGGTGTAACATTGGGTGGGGATCGTTCAAAGGGCACACCTGTTGATGTTGGGTTAAGTCAGGTGTGTATGGCACTCTTATATGCTCATTTTGTTCTGCTGCACATGTTTGAGAAAAGGGTTTTGTTGAAATTTAAATTATGATTTATGCTCGATGTATTCATGTAAGCATGTCATTCTTGGTCGTGTGCTTAGAGTTAACCGATTTGTACCATTGTGGCAAACTAGCAAATACCCCACTCTGTACAAGTTACTTGACAGAAACAATATATGTAACATTCATAAAGTTATGCCCATCCTTAAGTAATGCTTCATGCCCACAAGCAACCGGTCTGCGAATGTGGCAAGCCTATTTCATTACAAGCAAGCACATTTAGGTTATTGTTTTTTTTTCTCAGGAGTCATTATTCTTTGTATTATTAATGTTTCTGAATTAAGTTGCATTTACAAACGGTCAAACATGATAGAAGCAGTGGTGAATCCAATGTGGTATTATCTATATTTGGTTCGATTTATTATTTTAGGGGTTGAAATGTTGAGATTATAAGAACACTTGTTCAATTCTAAACCATCATCTCTAGGAACTGTGTTATGTTTAAGACAAATTATAGGTTTATAACACCAGTCAACTTGTCCTCAAGCTATAGAAGAAGCTTACTGCACCACCACTATGGGTAATGGTGTTTTACTTAAATTATTGTTTTTAGATAACCAGAAAACAAGCGTATCCAACTCTTTCATTAAAAGGAGAAGTAATTAGATACTCAAGACTTGGGCTGGGATCAAATATTATACAATGCACAACACGTGCAACACGCACGTAGTCACACACTAACTACTCCTCATGGCAGTTCGCGCAACCCGTAACTGAAAGCCTGCTGCCATCGCTCCGCCTCCGTCTTAATATCATTTGCCACAGACCGGAAGTCCTTGCTCACCCCCTGGAACACCCTGCTGCTATGTTCCTGCCGTGGACCAGACAGTGAGGGCAACCATGGAGCCAATATCCTCCTTTTACACTTAAGTCTGCTCTCCTTAGCCACCAATTCTATAGGGAGTCTATCGCGGTAGGATTCCAGAGTCGTAACCAACCCAACTTTAGGGTGAGAACCCAAAATCGTTCTTTGATAATTTACTGTGTTCTGACTATTTACCCACCATTTATTGCGTTTGACTGTTTTTAAATTACAGTGTTCCTATAAAATTGTTTTCTCTATGAAATGTTGGAAAATGAAGATATCATGGGTGGGTCAAGGCCCAATGACACAGGGGCAGCACCAAGCAAGGAGTAATCCCGTTATCAAGGAGATAAGTGTAACTGGAGTAAGGATATCAATTTGGTTAGGCCAGTTATAAGCTTAAATACGAAGATGATGATATGGGTCATTAGAAGAGTTTGGATTATGTTCTTTGGTGTCAAATCAAGTCTTCCTTGTAAAAGGGACACCATGTATGGATTTACCCCATATGGATTTCCCCCCTCTCTTCGTGGCCCATGGCAGACCCATGATAGAACATGTGATTCTGTTGCTTCACGTACTAAACAAAATGTCTCCATGTCTTCCTTTAGACGACCCTTTATTTATTATTAACATATTAGACAAAATGCCAGAATGCATACCGTTCCATCTTGATCTAATAGGTTTGGAATTAATTCTAGTTATCACAATTCTGCAGAACATTCTGGTTGAGCAAATCCTAGAACAAGGTAAAAGGGTAACTGTAGCCATGGGAACCAACAGAGACCTTACACCAGGTAAATGACCGTTTCATTTACTCCAGGCAATACACATGGTCATGTTGATGTTCTGTGTAAAATTTGGTAATACTTGTAGAATTTAGGAATCTCTTGTGTAATATAGATATCGTGTTGAAGTGCCATTAGTATTGGTTCACACTTTGTACGAATTTTCCATATATTAATTTTCAGCTCACCACATGTTCTTACTGCATCCACTTGGGCCAGTCACATTCCAATTTACATACATATTGGAGAGCCACAGCCATTTTGGTTTTCACTGGCCAAATATATTTAATCTAGACTCCATTTTATTATACCTTTGGCACACATCTCTCTGTTCTCATCTAGTTGTTTTTTGAGTAACTTGAACTGTACTTGTGTCGTTTCGCCATTTGATTGTAACTTTTGTATGAACATCTAGCTTGTGTAAGGAAAGTCGTTCCCCCGTCCTCACCCAGCGAAGAAATGGGATCATATTGGGGCTATAAAGTCCGCTATGCTTCAAATTTAAGTGGTGTTATCAATGATTCACCATACAAGGTACTGCTTGTAAGGCTGTTATAATGCAAATGCCGAATTTATTGTATCATTACTTACTATTTTCACCACTTCTAGGAAGGATATGATCATATCATTGGCACTTCAGAGCATGGCGAAACCATTATTTCATCTGAGCTAATCTTACCTTCATTCAGGTATTTGGACCACCTTCTTGAGAATAATAATAATAATAACAGATTTGGTTATCTGAATGTGTAAATTTCTTCTTCCTAGATGATATGGTGTTATGATCTATGAAGCTTATTATTTTCTTATTCATTAGAATTTTGAGGTATAACTGGAGTAGACATAAACTATAACACTTCAACAAATAAAATGGCGCACAATTTCATTTTTTAGTTGGATTATCTGGGAGAAGTTACACAAAAACACCAGTTTGCTCAACAAATAAATTGTGCACCTCTTTTGTACCTGAAGTCCCAACCCCCATTTGTAATCACCTCACCATGTCTGGATTCTTTTTTAGCACAGCAACAACATACTTTTTTTTTTGGCTTGATCGGTTCATAAGCAGACAAAACGTTTTGACCAATGCAATGATGATTGTTGAATATTCACCTGGAATGATGAACTAATACATGTTAGTATAACCTTTTTATACTGGCCTGTAAACCAAACCATGTTATCCTCTTCGATTTTTTAGGGCCTTGTTCACTATCTAAGCACCCCTAAACTGCACAGGTATAAATAGTTTCTATGATATGTTAATTCTGAAACAATCAAAATTTAAAAGCTTCAAGCCCTGAACTGATTGTAGCCTAGTTAACATGAACTCGCCAGGTTCTGATTTTTTCTCTTATGGTTCCCATGATCTGAAACCCTGGTTGTACTCATGTGGTTCCACATTCCAAACCTATGAGTTATGCTTAGAACCTGCACTATCTATGAAGTCTCTATTGCGGGAGTCTGTGCTGTTAGTAAAAATGTGCTCTTCATTGCACAGGCACCTTTTAATTGCGTTTGGTGGACTGGCTGGTCTGGAAGAAAGCATCGAAGAGGACCCAAATCTGAATGTATGGTTGCATTTTACAGTTTCCTGTATTTATTCTGATATTTACTTTTGTCGTCAGACATGTCTCACTATATAGTCCAATCATATTGTGCAACCTGATCACTTGTATGATAGCGAGTTATCATCACAGCATGTATTTTTTTATATGATTGAATAAAAATACTAAAAGGTTATCTCCATTGGATGATAATGTGATCTGATTCTCCATCGATTAGTGTCTGTACTATTGTTGTTCGTAGTATTAAAGTGACATATTCCTCTGACAGGGCAAAGGTGCAAATGATGTATTCCCATCTTATTTGAATACATGCCCCAACCAAGGTAGCAGAACAATAAGGACAGAGGTATGTGTCACTCGAGAGCTTCTAAGCTTATTCTTTATGTAGGCTATTTGTTGTGCTGAGAGAGTAAGTAACCATTTTCAGGAGGCACTTCTCATATCCCTTCAATACTTCCAAGACCCCATCAGGCGAGCTGGGATGGCGAGTTAGAGGGTTTTATGCGACACATGCAAATACAACATTGCACTTACCCAAGGATTGGTTTTAACGCTTGGAACAGACATGGAATGCTGGGTGGTCATGTCATGTCGAAGATGCACCTTGGGTTTGTTTTTGGTGGTCAATCGCTGGATTGTAGCACCTACGGGCTTTCTGCTCGGGTCAAGCACTGTAAATGCAAAGAGGAGGTGCAAGAATAGGCGATAGCTTTAACTTCTATTTTTGAAACGGGCTAGACACACATTTTCATTAATTAAGAAGAGAACTTGCCTTGTTAATTAGAGGAAAACCGGGCAAAAGCCGAGATAGCTTGAACATTGATGCTAGCATTGGTAGAGTTTTCTTAAGGGAGCATTGGTAGATTGGGAAGAAGATCAGTGCCACACAAAAGTGTTTAGAGAGGGAGCATAATTATTCGTCGGTGATTTGTTTTCTTTGCTCCAAATTGGCTAAAACCGGTGTTCTATTTTATTTGCTCCAAGTTGTCTTATCTATGATGTATCACCTATTTATTTTCAAACCTGGCAGCTTTGTAGTATTGTATCAAGCTTCAGCTTACTGTATTTGGCTGGCTTAGTTAATGACTTAGAAGGTTGCTATCAAAACATTGGTTGCAAGAATGGCAAGCAACATTGCTCTGACTTGTGGTGTTCATTTCTAATCTGAATTTCGTTACATTTTTGTGCCAAATCGAGGTTTTGATGCAAAATTGAAAGAAATATGACTAAATTTAATTTGCACTTTATTTCTATAATCTACACCAGTATTGAATTTAACTGTTTTTGGGAAGGCGAGATTCAAGTTATCCAAAACAATAAATAAGATTCTGAGTCATCTTTTGGGATTGGTCGGTAAAAGAAAAAGAAACACATAAGAATGGGAATTCACCAGATTAGGATTACTAGAGCTCACAATTCCATAGAATAAGTATGACAACTAGAGCTCACAATTCCATAGAATAAGTATGACACAGGATACGTGTACACAACGCCTGAGAAGTTCAGTCTTTGAGGCACTTTGTGCGATTGCTATGCCAAATTGTTAGTTTAACCACCTTTGCTTACTCCCAAGAAAAATGGAACCAACCACCTTTGTCTCCTCCACATAGAAATGGAATCAAGACCACCTTTGGCGAGATAACAAGGGCTCGTAAGACCGTTCTTTTTTTAACACAGTACATACACAAACACTTATACATGAGCGCACACGCTCACCCCTACGAATACAACACATACACACACGCTATTCATATGAGCACCTTCGAGATATCGAGCTGGTACATCATCTTAATATTGATAAAATCACCATAGACGCCTTCATAGTCGATGGAAACGTCTCCTCCCACTGAACGCACATCGCCGGAAGGCCTGAAATAAATCCAGTAAAATGCGAGCACCAATGTAAAATATAGGACTTAAACCCTGATGAGCTGAGATACCACTGTCCTACTAACCATTGAACCACTAGTTGGTTCGCTAAGACCGTTTTTCTTGCACAACGGGCTTTGCTACCCTGCAATGCACCACCATCAGGCGTGTGACAGCAACACCAACTAAAATTACACACGAACCCATCGCGACATAAGCTGAAATCCGGTAATGTTTAGAGAAAACAACGCAACCAATCTTGCGCACCGTTATCAATGTACTCGCCACACCATAGAGCACCACATCAAACTCAACCCTGGAAGGAATCTCTTAGCACTAAAACCAAAATCAAGACGTTAAGAACAAAGTGCTCAGGAGTGTGATATCGTAAATTCATCAAGGACGCTGACCTACCCATAAGCCTCTATTTTGGTATGAATTGCTTGAAATTGGCCAATTTCAAATCGCCTACA